ATAAAGTAACAAATTGTTTAAAAACAATAGTTTAAAATCAGATATAAAATACAAAGGAAATAACTCTAAACCAATTTTTTTTCTAATGACAGACTTATTATAAAATCAGTAGAAATAAAAATGAAATTAATAGAAATAGCTTTTTGATTTTATCTTGTCAAAAATAAATGTAATAAGTATTTAGTAACGTAATTTTAAACTAGGACCCTGCAAATCACTTTTTTTGGTATCAAATCAAATCATGAATTGAAGCAGAAATTAATTTGTAAATCGAAGTGAATCTTGAATCAAATCAGCATTTTGAGGATATCAATGTTTTAGTTTAACTTAGATTTCCTCAAAATTATTATATAGGTTATTTTATAAACATTGTATTGTTTTTAATTTACACTTTTAAGATCAACAAGACTATTAGCAGATGTATATTGAGTCTGCTGCAGAGGTGAAATTCAAATCATGGTAAAACCAAAGAGGCATCTTTTGTACCATCTTTTGACCAAGATCACAATATAAAAATGGTAAAAAGTTTTGTATTCAAAAACAAAGAGACGTTCGAAAAGATGGAAAACGGATCAAAACTGAAATACTTTTGAAGTTTTAAAAAATGCCTATGTATGAGTCTTTTTCAGACTTTTTGGGTACAATGAATTCCAAAACTTTTAAAATCTTCCAAAGTTCCTAACAACATATCAGAACTCACAGCAAAATTGTAAATCATAGTTTAAAAATTTTATTTTAAAAGTAAAATGCAGAGTAGGATATTTATTTCTTAAAACAAGAAACATATTTCTCCTTTTAAGAAAAATATATCATAATAAAAAATTCAATTTTGCTGTGCTTCCAGTAAAATTTATTTAAGATAGTGTAGACAGTGTGATGAGCTTGGAAAAGCTTTAAAAGCTACTTCAAAAAAAGAGTTCTTGTAAAAAAACATAAAAAGAAGAAGAGTGGATTCAAGGAGCTAGCTACAGTGACTGCTTCCTTGCTTTCTAGTTTTTGAATGGTTCTGATAAATTGAATTTTGATCCAATATTAAATTTTAAACTCTTAACCTTAAAAGTACGTTAAATTTTTTTTTTTTTTTTATTACATATTTTCTTTAGATATTTGTTTAAAGCTGAAAATTTATGTATATGAATATTTATTGCACATTAGCAGCGTTTAAACACTGAGTTCTGAAGCAAACTTGCTTCAAAAACAAGAAATCTATTGCAGTGACAGATTTAGCTTTTTTTGGTGTTTGAGATATTACTTGAAATATTTTTATGTCAAATAATGGTGCTTTTTAAAAGTTGCAATAATTGGACGCTGGGAACAAAAAAAGCCCCAAAATATAATCCCCTTGCCCCAAACGTGAAAGTAACAAGATTATAAAATAATTTTTTTGCTTTTTTTAACTAAATTTATATTCATCGATAAGTTTTAAGTATTGTTTCACGATCTCTAAGCGTTCAAAAATTTTGACTAAATAAAATTTGTAAACCCCTCAAAGTGAGAGGGTTTAAACTTTATATAGTTATAATTTATGAACTCTGAGAGATATTTTTATGAAACCTAAATTTTTTCAATGAACAAACAAAGTTAAGAGTTTCGAAAAAATTATTTTATCAACTTGTTGCTCTCACGTTTGGGGCAGGGGGAATAAACTTTTAGGGCTTTTTTAGTTTCCAGCCTCCAATCATCGCAATATTTTGCAAAGCATCATTATTTTGATAAGTATACACATACTAATATTTCGAGTTTGCACCATGTATATTAGTTATTTCAAACACCTTGAATCTTTTACTGATCTGTGGTTCGATGCCACAGATCAGTAAAGGATTTTATGTTGAAAATGCTTTTTTTATGTCAAAAAAATACTCTAGGTATTTTTTCAACATAAAAAAAGCATTAACTTCCAAGTTAAATGCTTCTCTGTGGTGCTCTGTGGTGCAACAATTAGGTCTTCTTCCTAAAATAACCACTGAAAAAATGTGTATATATATTTTTGAATGATATTGATACGTTTTGATCTGGTTTAGTTTACAACAAAAGATCGAAAATCCTTTACCCAATCTTTCAAGGAAACCATTTTGAATTTGGATTTGTTTAATCCAAGGCTCCAGTAACAAACATTTGTATGTATTTAGATAAAAGTATATCATTTAATAACAAAGTGAGGCAAAAGTTATTAAGTTTGTTGTATGACTAGAAAAAAGCATAAAGATGAACAAAAAATCACTTTACAGTAGCCAAAGTGTTAATTAATCTACCGTTAATAGTAAGATAGGCACAAAATATTTCTTAATTTAATAAGCACAGTGTTTTTTTTGGTACAGCAACAGAGAAAACATTGTTGAACAAATTAAGTGGATTTAATATCAAAATCTATTGGCGCTCATGCTTGGAGATTGCCCTAAATTTAGTCAAAAATCACTAAAAGCGAAACTTTAAACAATGAGCACAAATGCGTTTATCAAGAAAAAATATAAAAATTTTTAATATAAATATGACCTCTACGCCACTCATTAGCCACTCCGCATAAAAATTGGTTGTCGAAAAAAATTTATTGGATATATATATATTATATAATTATTTAAACAATTTAAAATGTATTCTACAAAAAGAGTGCTCAATGTTCTTAAAAGAACAGAGCAATTACAAATTAGTAGATAAAATTTTGCTAAGTGATTTTCTACTAATTTAATTTTATAAGTCAAAAAGCAGTTTCATCGTTTATTTGTTTTTGGTGTCACTCCTCTGACCAGATTTTTGTTTAAGTGACACCATCCTAATAAATTATTAACTTATTATTATATTAATATTAGTTCTTCTTATTATTTTTTCATTGTAATTATTGTAAACATACTTAATTAATACTATTACTATAATTTGTATAATAATTTTTTTTTTATCTTATGTTATTATTATATATTTTTGCTATCAATACTACTATTATTATTATTATTATTATTATTATCATTATTATCAAAACTATTGTAAAATGATTTACGAAAAATAAATAGCTTGTTGTTGCTGTTGTTGTTGTTTTCAATTTTTAAATCACATTTTTCAATAATAGCCCTGTAATATTCATCTAAACTTTTATCAGTGTGTTTTTTTCATCAAAAAATCTGTCTGTTTTTAGTAAGTTTTGACTATTCTGTATATTAAAGAAGTTTTTTCTGCTATAATTTAAATTTGTTCCAAATCAATTAGTAATGCCATTAAGTCCACCACGAATAAGAGTGTTGACAAGCTTTTGGTCAGTTATATTTTTTGTTTCATCTTGACAGCTTTTTAATATAGACAGTTGTAATTGAGTTATTAGTTTTAGTTTAGAATTTTGAATTTTATGAATAACATAACCTCCAAGATATTGCAATCCATACTTTTTCCTATCACATATTGTAAGTGTAATTAATTTCTGATTGTTATTAAAAGTAGATATTGTTTTTATAATTAGCTGAAATACTATCTGCAGGTTTGCTTAATAATAATGTAGCAGCATCTTCATAATCATCACAACATTTTAAAATTTTCTTACTGTGGATTACTACATTCCCAAAATAACTAGCGAAAAACTGGTTTAAACTTTTAGAATAAATTTTAGTGCAGCTTTCAATAATTCTATTAAACTGAATCTGATATTTTACTAAATTAATCAGAAGAGTTTTAACTTGCTCAATAATTTGTTTGCCATAAAAGGAGCCTTTAAATATTTTTTTAAATATAAGTAACTTTCACACAGATTAAGGTGTAAGGGATATTTTAAAAATTATATTTGAGTTATAAAATTGTTTTTTGTTTACTATAAAAATGTTAGCATTTCTTGGTAAATTTATTTAATCCAATAATTTTGTTTATTATGTCATGTACAACCCTTGAAATTAGGAAAAATTAGATGGGCAATAATTTGCCGACCTCAATCTTTTGAAAGGTCTACAAAAATTTGCTGGTCAGCAAATTTTTGTAGACCTTTAAGAAACACTTTAAGATCAGCAGTTAGGTCAGCATTGCCAAATCTGACCCTAATTCTGAGGGTTGTATGTATACCCAAGCTGACCCTAATTCTGAGGACTGTATGTAGTGCATATTGCTTTTATGTTAAGTTTTTTGAAGCAATACTTTTACAGTGTCATCAATTACTAAAAATTTATTTTATTTATATTTTAGTTTATGTTTGTTTTAAGATTTTCAATTACTTTTCTCACAAACTTTAAAAATTAACATTTCTCACAAACTTTAAAAATTAATATCAACACAAGAGTTTTGTGAAATAAAAACATAACAAAAATTTTTTTTTTTTAATTAGTTTACTTGATGAATGGAATTTGATGTAACTTTAATAAAAATAGTTTGACGAAAATTTGATAATAATAATTAGATGCAACTGTATCAAATTAATGTCACCCTTCAAAAAAATCTTATTCCATTGGCAACCATGTCTTTACAACATTAACATATATATTTATATATACGTTTTTTCAGGTTTAATGTGTATACAACAATCATCGGCCATTTAATGCCAAATCAAAAAGAAAAAAAAAACACATTAAAAAAAACACATTATATACATTGTAATGAGTTCTTTATGTCACTAGAGAAATGATTAAAAAAGATTAGTGAAATAGTGACTGCATTTTGAAATCAACTTGTTTCTTTTACTTAATAGATTTACACCTTTTATATTTTCAAATAAGAATTTTCCACAGTTTTCAATTAATAGAAGGTGTAAACATTTGTCTAAACAAGTTCAGCAACTCTTAAAGGCTTACAATATAAGTATAGTAAATTTTATAACTTGCAAAATTGGCGCAACAAAGTTTAGTGACTTGCAAACAGATACTGCAAATTTTGTGGCTTGTAACAGGTATAGCAAGTTTTGCTCTTGCTTACATTTGTGCAGTGTCTATCGTTAAAAATGATTCATTTAGTTGCATTATTGGAACTTGAAATTAAAATCATTCACGAAAAACCAATCCATAAATAATCGATAATTTTTATTAATTTTTTTTTAGGTTGGTGGGGTTATCATCTATTTACATGAGAAACGTTTTCTCACATGCATCTTGTAATATGGTAAAAAAATTTATTTTTGTTTTATTTATTTATTTATTTTTAATTAAGGACATGTGCGAATTTTATTTAATTTATAATTTTAAACTTTTTTTGCATGAATAAGTTAGTGGTGGGGTAGAGGATGGAGAAGGCAACACGTGAGTCAATTTGTACATCACTTATAATAAAAATGTATACAGTACTCTTCTACTGTATAGTATTAAAATACATTTTTTTTTAAAACATTAAATTAAGTCATATTTTTAAAATTTACAATAGTTTTAAGAATGTAAAACTATAGAACTAGGGTAACAGAATAAAACATTTTAGAGTCAGGGTAACATAGAACATTATGGATCTAGAGTGTTGTACCATTACATCTACATCCAAAGTTTTGCTCTACTTCATCATGCTTGGTAGTGGTTCAAGTACTATTTCATTTAACCATTTTTTTTTACTTGCAGTTAATCTAAATAAAAATGTCTTTTGTAATTTTTCAAATTTTTCAGAGATTCTTCATGACAATTTCAGATTTTGCTAAAACTTTTTGATTTTATACAAGAAAAGCGTTTTCAAGAAATTTCAATTGAGGTTGCGGTTTAAAAAAAAACACCATTTAAATAGTGGGTTATAATTTTGCTTTTCAAACAAAAGGTCTTTTTCTTGTTTCTTAACTGCTAATAATTTTTGAACAGGTAGATTTTTAGATTCAATCTTTTAAGAGAGTATTCTATAGACAATTAAAGAAAAATAAAAAGTTCAAAACCTGACTTGATTTTTATTTTGCGTGGCTACTAAGTTGATGTTTTTATTATCACCTAGGCATGGAATTACCAGTAAGGTGAAAAATTCCTCAGAAAATTTTTTTACAAGGTCTTAGGTATATGCATGGACATGAATAATAGTTTTGCAATATATATCAATATATCAATAAATATTTTGCAACGTCTGAAAAAATTATAGTCATTTTAGTGTTTCTATCAAAATCTTTGAAAAATTTTTTTTTTTTAATTGCTTTGTTGTGCAAAAAATGATCTGAATAATTAAAAAAAATTAAATTTTTTAAAAATTTTTATTAATAACCAAAATCACTTATATACAAAGAACAATACGATGTCATCTTGAACATTAGTCACCCGGAGATAATTTAAAAATAGAAAACTACCAAAAAACTTCACTGTAAAATTATTTTTTCTATTTTTATATTAGATTATTTATTCACATCAAGTTATTATAGCTATTCTTTATATTTATAAACTATAGAATAAAATATAGCTAAGTAAAAAGTGTTACATTTTTCTATATTCTTTACATCAAAATTTGGAAATTTGTTATTTTATTTACAGGGTTCTTTAATTTCAACGGTTACTAGTTTTTCACTATCGACTTTTAGAGATGCCTTGAGCAATACCCAATTTCACAATTCTTTAGTTTTTTGCTGTATTACAGATGACCCAAATTTCATTTGTAAGCACCTGTTTCCCATAGCCTGCTGAAATCTGAATGAACTGATTTGGATGCTTGCTCACTCTAAAACCCAAGACCTTGAAAATTTTTTTTTGTAGAGTTGGAAGTCTTTGCTGGGTAATGACATGCATTTCAGTCTGATTGTCAATAAACTCAGGTATGTGCTTGATGGCAGCATGAAATTTAGGTGTAAATGAAATTCCAAGGGCTTTGTATGCTCAAAAAAAGTATAAAATTTCTATAAGAGGAAATTAGGACAAAGTATATCTGTCTGACTGCATCGAATGTTTTAAATGTAGAAAGAAGTTTTCTCCTTCATTTTCAATTTTGGTATTTGCACGCAATTTTTTCCCAAATTGTTTAGGAGATGCCTACATTGGTTTCGATTGAATTATCCATGAATTGGTGACTTCTAGATGCTTAGTTTGTTTGACCAGCCAGTAGATTTTAAAGAACAAGAATTAGTTTTGCTAAGGATAGTTATCAAATGGTCAAACAGCCTGTTGGTAATTCCTAAAGCCATATGCAATTCCATGATTGGCAAAATATCAAGATTTTTTGTTTTATCTGGAAGATCAAGTGAGGGAGGTTCATGCAACTTTTGTAGGTTGCTGTTGAGAGCTTTGATTTTTCTGAATAAACACTAAGATCTTTCTAATAATTATTGACATTGGATCTAATCCACTTAATTGTCTATTATTGACCTGTCATTTTTTGGTTTCCAAAATCTTTTTTTGAAGTTTCAAACTAAGACGCAGTGGGCCAAGATAGACATAAAATGGTCAAAATATCACAACTCCTTTATTTTTAAAGTTGTCAAATTGAAATTTTTATCAGTGACTAGTCAACATGAAAATCTTTTTTTTTTTTTTTTTAAAAAACTTTATGCAGATGCAAGCAACTCCCTAAAAGAAAAGGGTGTATAGGGCGTTAGAGATTTTAGATATTACTATGAATTAAAGTTTTATGTAAAATTTGAGGCATTGAAAACGATGGGTACAGACAAACGTAGAGCTCTGCTGTTTCTTTGGTATATTTTTAAGTTCATTTGTGTTAATTTGATGTTTGCATGATAAATCACAAAGAATTATGTAGAAACATTTCATGAGATTTTTATCTAAGCCAAGTATTTCAGCAGACAACTTATAGTTTCTTATAGTATTAAGGACTCATAAAATGTCTCATGTCTTGATAAAAGATGAATCGTTTGTTTTGCTTTCTACTCTTTGCTAACAACTGTTGAATGTGGTGTAAATGATAAAGCACTGATTTCTTCTAGAAGTTTATTGCTAAAGTAAGAGAATCAATTATATGATAGCAGTCTTTTTAATAGTTTTATACTAAGATATGAGTCAGTGGCGGATCTACAGTACTGCAGCTGAGACAGCTGCCTAAGGAGAAATGTTATATTATAAATAAGGTGTATCTTACTTTACATTTTTTTAAAGTCAAAATTTCATTAGGATTTTTTTCACGGTTTTGGATTTGAAACCGCAAAAATAAGCGAGAGTGTTAAATATAATGATTGGCGAAAAGGCTTTTTTATGTATTAGGCGAAAAAAAATTTGCCTAATCTAAAGCAATCTGGAAAATCGGAAATTTAGCCCAATTTAGTTAAAATTTAGCCGGTTGGTTTTTATGCCTAAGGCCGCCTGATCTGAGGCGATCTGATCAAGAAATTAAGAAAACTAGGCATATTTGCCTAAAACTTGGCCGATTGGGTTAAGTTTAGGCATAAAAAGTCTGGAAATTAAAAAAATTTAAACAATTTGCTTGAAATTTGGCCGACTGGGATATAGTTTACCATAAAATGTCTGGAAAATATTACACTTAGCATTTCATTTTTTTTTCTAATTTAAGATGTCTAAGATTTTTGATAATGTGCGAATTGCATTAGAGAGAAGCGATAAAGTTACATTCGAAAAGATTAACAAGAAGTATTCACTCAAGTTGATTCTTTATGTTTTTTGCATCCATTAATTAATCAAGTTCATCTTAAGCGAAATATTTGCGCTGAAGCCTACTTAAAAAATAAATAAATTAGTACCTATTCTGTAAGTTACTATTTGTTTATACTGCTTTATTTACAATAAGTTATTTAATTAAAGGTTTTCATCAGATTAGCATCAGTATCAAATTATTCATATTTTGCTAGCAAATCACAAGTTAATCTTACAGATTAACTTGTAAAATAATGTTTCAGTGCGAACTATATATCAAATGCAAAAACTAGTTAGTGGTTTTAGCTATGGATTTATTTACAAAAATTGTAAAGTTAAACAACAAGGCTTTATACACCTATTGTTTTTAGTCATCGATTAAATCTAGCAGTGTGTAATTCTTGCAAAGTTCAACTTCTCTGTAATGCAATGAACCATGTAAAAGAGGTTTTCTATTATTTTAATCTTTCTATCAAAAGAAGTTCTGTCTTGGAGACAATGATTTTAGAACACTATCCTGATAAAAAGGGAAAAAACTTAAAGATATAGTTGAACTAGGTGGCTTAAAAGAATAAATGGTTTGGATATATTTAAGCAGTTGTATATTTCAATAGTTTATTCCCTTGAAGCTATAAGCAATGACATAAATAAGTTTGGGGCAGACTCCCAAAGAGCTACATCTTTATTGAAATTGGTCACTACCTTTGAATTTATTGTTTCCTTGGTTGTGGCTAGAGCTGATTTTGATGAAACGCATATAGTGACTAAGATTGGAGGGAGAGCTTTAAGATTTTTTCTGATTTTTATTCTGAAGATTTGTCAAATCCATTAGCTTTAGATGCAGAGTGTGGTCTTTAGGAGGTATACTGGACTACCACTAATTATCCCATTCCAAACGTCTGATACTATAAAGTTAATTTCATGTATAAAAACTTTTGCCAATATTTTTGTTTGTTTGCAGTTATTAGCAACTTCACCTGTGACATCGTGTTCTTATGAATAATCTTTTTCAAATCTTCGCAGATTAAAAACCTGGTCAAGATCAACAGATTGTTTGGTTAAACATTGATGTATACACATAGAGATATAGTTCCAGATAATTAAGAAGTTATCAAAAAGTTAATGCAAAGAAATGGTTATGTTTCTATACAAATAAGTCAAAGTCTTTGTGACTAGGTTTATTTGTAAACATTTATACACATTTAATAGTTTAAAGACTGTTGACTTAACCATATAAATCACTTAAAATCTCTGTGAATATGACTTCGTTTTGTCTACTATAATCCCTATAATCTATAATCACAAGTTAAATCTTTTGTGAGAACTTAAAGTGATTCAGAGTTTGAATACATTTTAAATTGTTATTAATAATTTAGGATGTTTAAATATTCAAACATTTTTATAAACGTTGTAGTAAAATCAAATAATTTTGAATTATTTGAATGAATGCAATACACTTTTAGTGTCAATCTAATTGACACTAAAAGTGTATTGCATTCATTTGTATGTAGGACAAAAACATATATTTTATTTTCTAAAAATACATTTGGACATAAATATATTTTTTAACCTTAAAATCCAAAGTTAGTGAAAATAAAGATTAAAACATTTAAATATTTTAGTAGATAAAGAGTACCTTTCTGGTTGAAACAGTTCAGTACAATATATTATTTATCCTAATTTTAATTTTAATAAATTAGCAGTTTACTTTCTGAGGGAATTTTTGTTTTAGAAAAAATTGTTATATTGTTATTATTAGTATTATTAGTATTATTGTTCAAGGAACTCTCCTGAACAATATTACTAAATAACTTGCACATTTTTATTTTTTAGGAAAAGCAGTTTGCTAATTGGTTGTGTATTTTTCTGTCATACACCTTCAGTCGTTCTGCATAAAAAATCGTACACATGACTAGGAAGGAACCTTGACGTGGTTCATGTGCTTTAAACAAATACCTTCCAGACAGATACATTCTCACCTGTTGTACTGTGCGGGATAAATGGTCAGAAATTTGATTTTTTTAGATTTTTATTTTTTTTGTCTGAATTTAGTTATTACTCAATAAATCAAACTTTTTAAAATGTATTAATAAAATCATAGTTAATCTACTATTTTTTTTCAACGGTTTGTATTCTTCGAATTGGCTAATAAAAATTAGCAAATCAATAAAATGGGCTGGTGCTAGTCACCGATACAGATTGTGAAATATTTGGCTGATTAAGTCGATGCAGATAAATCTGAACATCACCAAGAATATTCAGATTAGTTTTGAATTTCCAAATTCCTTTTTTTATTTTTAGTTGACATGGAGTACATTGTAGGTATCAAGAATAGCTAGTATAGGTATAATTTTTATTAAATTTTGCATATGTTTCGTGTAAAAGATAATGACCAGAATCTAGTTTATATTTATAAAAAAAATCCAAAACAATAGTTTGGGAGGGAGCGATTTTCTTAAGTTAATTTTTGCTTGAATTTCAGACTTATATTGTCTTAACCAGTTTAGCATTTAAACTTTTTTTTTTTTTTGAAATTGCGTGCTTATTTTTATAAAAGACTGCAAACACCAAGTCTTAATCACAAAAAAAAAATTTTCAAAATGTGCAAATGGGGTGAATCCATAGGGGGAGATATTGGGAGAAGCCATAGCGGGACCCCCCCCCCCCCCCCCACCTTGTATCAAATAAAAACCTTTTGAAAATATAAATCCGAGTTCGTATGGAGTTCACAAAGAGTAAATGGGGAAGGGAGGCTTATTTGGTATCTGAGAGTACCACTGTCTGGGATGGATTGTGTTATAGCAATCGTGGCTCAGTAGTTAGAGAATTGGATTCGTAAACTAAGGGTTGCGAGTTCGATCCCTACTCGAAGCACATAAAGGTTATCGGTAAGGTTGGAAACGGAGAGCCAACTTATAAATGCTATTTGTCTTTGCGGCGGTGCTCTGTGACAAGACCATTAGGACTTAAAGCACCTTAATAACAAAACCAAATAACAAAAAAAAAAGAGGGGGGGGGCGGTAATATTAAAAAAAAAATCGCCATAGGAAAAATAAATCCTAGATCCGCCCCTGTGAGTCATTTATACAGCTCTTGTTTTTTTGAGATAAAACCATTTTTTAGCCAAATAAACTAATAAGACTTTGTTTTTTTATATTTTTTAATTTTTTTTTTTTTTTTCTCGTAATTTTAAATATAAATATATTTTGAAAATTCATTTCTGAGTAATATTATTTTCTAGTCAAAATAATAAAATCGTTTTTTTTTTAAATACTGTTTTAATTCTTTTATAATGAGCATACTTTTTTAGTCAGTACTAGTCTATAACCAAATAATGTTTATAATTATTATTAAATTGTTTCAATAATTGTTCTTTAAATACTTCGTATTAAGTTAAAAATAGAAGAAGAAAAATATAAAGAAGAAAAAAAATTATTTCAAGTAACATTTTTCTAATATATTACAGTACCATTTATGTTTGCATATTTGTTTTTATAGAAATATCTTTTAAGATCTATTTTTAAATTTTTCGTTAAAATTAATAGCAAAATCCGGTACAAAATAAATCATGTTACGATGAATCTAGAATATTTACTAGAATCGATGAAAATTAGCTGATAAAAGATATTCTTTTATGAATAAAATGACACTGGATTGCGAAACTTTGCTTAGTATCATATGTTCCATTTATACTCTTAAATAGTTCTGATAGATTTTTTCAGTTTTACTTTTTTGTTTTTGTATATTTAATTTTATCTCTGTGATCGCAAATTTTATTTGTTAACATTGTATTGAACTGCAAGTGTATTTTTACAAATATCTATAACTTTTTGAGAGATGTTTTGAAACAAGCACATGTTTATGCGTATATATATACATATATATATATATATATATATATATATATATAAAACCTTACTCTAAGTAAACATAACCTTACTCTAAGTGAATATTGTAAAACTACAAACATGGCAAATATTATTTTATTTAATAATTCAGATTTCAAAATATTCAAAATTAATTTATAAAATTGATAAATCTTTCAGAATTTTTGACACTGAAACAACGTGAAAAAGTATCATAAATTTTTTTTTTTTTGTATTAAGTGTTTGTTTTTAGTTATCTGAGTTATTTATAATTGTTGTTATAGGAATCAATTGATGCACATCTATATAGAGTCATTTATGCAAGCGGATCATCTGAGTTATATTGAAAATATATAAGGGTCGTCCGTAAATTACATCACGCAATTTTTGACATTTTTTTTTTAGTTGCTTTTATTGTTGCTGCACACTTTTGTGGACCCATTAAATCGGGGTGGCCAGACTTTTTAGGATACGGGCAAAAAAAAGTTAAAAAACAATTTTTCGGCAAATAATATATATTTTTACGAAAATATATGGGACAAATAACTATTATAATCATTTGTATCAAAGCAATATAATTATTAAGAGTGGTGAACTTGACCGTCTGAAACTAGTTTTATGATGTCTGGAATGATTTTTTTAGGTAGATAGAAGTATCACATTACTAAAATTGTTGTCCCCTAAATATTCAAATCGTTTAACAGGGATTTAAAAGTATCTGTTGGCATTTTTTTGCCCTGCAGGCAGTGGTTTGGCCACCACTGAACTTAATAAAGTTTTGCACTTGGACCATTTAAGGTCAAAGCGCAGAACGTACACTGCACTTAGACTGTTACAACTGCAACAGGCTGTAACTACTCTGTTAACGGAGTGTACACATTGACTAAGTAAGATTTAGGAGCAGTCGATTTTACAAGCAACATGTAGATACATCAACTGATGGTTATGGTTTGGTCAGATACTGTTTTAGTTAAAAGATAGTCTTTTCTAAATTTAAAACTTAAAAAAAAAATGTTGCATCAAAATCGAAGACAAAACTGAAGAATACGACTAAAGATTAGTTTTAAATTTTTATCAATCTAAATTTTGTCAAAAATTTTTTTAAATAGAACTTTTAATGTTTTTTGTTAATTGTGGAAAGTTATGGAACATTCTATGACGACTATGTGATTTTAGTTTAATAAATTTTTTATTAGTAATTTTTGTTATTAGTAACTATTTTGTTATGTTTAAGCGGTTATTAATGGGATTGTTGTATTTTTGTTAAAAATACCGTTAAATACTTTGTTAAAAATTTGTTAAATACTGTCAAAAATACCGTTAAATTTTTTTTTTTAAAAAAAAAACTTAAGACCACATCTACCTGTGCGATCATAATCACACCTTAACACTGAATATGCCCAAATTTGATTTTTCTAATCTCCATATATATCTAAAATATATTTAGATATACAGTATGTACCATCTAATTTGAAAAGCCATCGGGAGATTCTTTGACCACCCCTAAAATGACCATTTGAGCTGTCATGGCCACTTCTAAAAACCGAATATGCCCAGACATGAATTCCCTGACCGCAATTACCTTTATCATGACATTTAACATATCTCATCTAATTGAAAAACTATCGATACATTCCTTGGCTAACCTTGACGAAAAATAACCACTCCCAGACAGCAAGTAAATACTGGTCCGATAATTGCTAGCCAATGCCAGCGATTTCTTTAAAGGTATAATAAAGTTCTGTTCTTGTATTACCAGTTCTGGGAAGCCGTAATAGGGCCATTGCCGAGCCTTTATAAAATTGCCTGAGCTGGGTAGCCGCAAAAAAACCATTAATGGTCCAACAAAGATTTGGCAAAACAGAACAACAGACATTGGGCCGATACTGGCTCATCAGTGGTAAAGTCAAATTAATAATGATATAAACAAGAGCTTTTGCGTTTACTGCGCAGAATTTTGCACCCATCTTGAAAGTCGTTTTTTTTCATTTTTTATACAAATATATATTAAAGCTGTTTTTCGCTTCTCTTAATCACCGTGGTTGTTGTTAGCGTCGTCCCGGAGAGGTCTTTCATTGGGGGAGGGGGGTCGTATGTGTTTTTTTGCCAGAGACACACACATAAAAAAAGGTTCTCGATATTTGACATTTGCCAACTATACTTCAAAACTTGCCAACTGAAATGCTAAATGCACAAATGCGCTAAACTCAAATAACAGTCTGGATGGGGAAGGGGAATACTTCTTTAACACCCCCTTCCTTCTCCTTCCCCGTTCGGGACAGCTCTGGTCTACCACTCTAACAGAAATGAAATTTAATTATTATTTTTGCATTTATTTATTAATAGCTATTTGTAAAACTGTTGTCTTATTAAGTAAACTTATTTTAAATAGTCTAAATTTAGACAGTAATTGAGGAGTTAACTTGCAAAACCAGATAATTCACTTTTAAAAAAAAAAAAAAGATTTAGCAATGTTTTTTTGTAGTTTTAGTATTCCTACATTTCAACAAATAAAAATTAAATTTAAAAGTCACTATTTTAATTACAATTTACCTTTCTTAAATTATATAGTCCGTGCAAAACCAGTTTTAAAAAAAGTTATTATCGATGCAAAACAAGACAAAAATTTTATCTAATCAACATTCTGTTTTAAAAACGTTTTAGAAAACTGGAAGAAAAAAATCTCATACAAAAAATCTCACTAAAATTAAAAAAGCCATATTTAAACAGTTACAATTGAGTTTTAACTTCATCAATCCTTTAAAAGTATCGTAACACTTTTGGCCACAAAGGCTACTTTGGCCATTTTTACTACTGAACGTAGATGTATGAAGTATGATGTACGAAGTATGATGAGGTATGAAGAGGTAAGATGATGACTTAATAACTGACTGATGTAATAACATCAGTCAGTTATTGACTGATGTTATTACATCATGTTATAACATATTGTTTATTATTTTTTTATTATTAAAATATTATTAAATAAATTTTATTATTCAAATTAAATAAATTTTGTTATTCAAATATTACTGCAAATATATTCAAGATCAATATTTGGTGATTCCTCCTTTGCCTCTATAATTGCAGGAACCCTTTTTGGCATACTTTTAATGCATTTTTGAGCCATTTCCTTCAATTCTTTATTATAGTTCCAATGTTGAATAATTCTTTCTATTAAATACACTTTATTTGTAATAATTTTTTCAGATATTTGCTTCTTTAGGAGCGCCCAAACATTTTCTATAGGATTTAGGTCAGAAGAGTTTCCTGGCCAATCAAGTAATGGAATATTTTGTTCTGATAGATATTTTTTAACTGATTTAGCTGTGCGACATGGTCATGCCTTGTCCTGCATGAAGGCTTTTTTTTCACCTGGACTAAACTATTCTGCCAATTGTGACAGCAATCTTTGTTCCAGCATTATTATATTGTAACTGTAACATTTTTCATTCTGCAATATAGAACCTTCCTATTTCTTTTACACATTTCATTGATCAGATCATCACAGAGGTGGGGTGTTTAACAGTTTGCATGATGCAGTCCAATAAGTGTTTTTTCCCTTTTTTTCTTTTTAAAACTTAAAAGTACTCTCGCCGCTAAAGCATACCTTAAAATATTATACAAGGATTGTTAAGTGAATATTGAATGAATATTTAAAGTTTGGTGTAAGAAAGTGGATATTTTAAATTCATCTAAATTAATTTTATTAATTACCAATCATATGTTAAATTCCTATACTTTTTTGTCCACTCAAGCTTTTTTTGTACAATTTTTGGTGTCAGTTTAGGCTTCTTAGCTGGACGTCGTGAAATGTAACCAAGATTGTGTAGGCAATGTTGGACCGTTCTCTTCAACATTTTGACTCCAGATTGGCCCAGCTTATTAGTTATTTCGTTGTTGGTGGCCCGTCTATTTTCTAGAACAATCTTGGTAAGTATTCATTTCCTGCATGGTGTTAGGATTCTCTTCTTTCCACATTTACCAACCCTCTTTGGCATCAAGTTCTCCATATTAGCATTTTTGTGTGTATATTTTGTACAGATACCCGCAAAATACCATATTTTCTGGCTATTTTTCATTGAGAATAATCAGTATTTATTAAAAGTGCCCTGATTTCAGCAATTTTTTGTGACAAGTTTTTTTTTTCCCTCATAACTAAAATAAGATATCACATATCAGTACTACAGTTAAGAATTTGCTTTGGTACTCATAACTTTAAAAATATCAAACTAAATACAACTATTTTTAATTAAAAATAAAAAGAAATATTCAAGAAATTTTTACTGATTTAAATAAGTAATATGACGATAACCTAATAAAAGAATTCAAAACTCTGGTAATAAAACTTAACAAGTGTACAGCAAAAAGATTATAATTAAGATGACATCATACAAAATGGCTGTCAAAAGTGACAGTGTTGCCAGTAGCAAAAAAAAAAGCATTGATTTTATAAGTTAAAACTTTATTTTAAACAGAGGATTAACTTTCGATAATGAATTTTTACTCTTCATATAAAAAAAAATGAGATTAAATTTCAAAATGATCAAAACTCATAGGTGGCCATAATAAATTGTCACACGACTGTATATATAAAGTATAAATATTTTGCAAAAACACTTTTATTTGCAATAACTGCTTCATTGCATTGTGGCATGCTTGCAATTTATTTTTTATAGTTTCTGTCAACTCTGGGTTATTATGCTAGATCTTGGTAATCTCTTCCATAAGATCTTGCTTATTAGTTTTTTTTCCAATCTCTTGCTTTACTATTTCCCAAATATTTTCTATGGGGTTAAGATCATGCGAGTTGTCTGGCTATAGCAATACATCAACTAAGCCATAACAGTTTTTATTGTGTGGCAAGTTGCACCATCTTGCATAAATATAAGATTTTTGACATTATTTTTAAATTTTTTTGTCAATTTTTGACATTTTTGGCTGGACATCAATCTCTCTTCTTTTAGCCTTCTACAAATGGTCTGGTCTGACACAACAATTACAGCTTCATGGATAAGCTTAGTGGCTTTTTTTCTCTTTTCCAGGCAGATATTTCTGATTATACTGTCCGCTCTTGGTGTTTTCTTGCGTTTAGAAGGTGTTCTCCTTGGACCAAACTCTTCCCCTGTATCAATTCTTTTTCTTACTTGCATTACGGTTTGGTAAGAAACTTTTGCGGTTTGTGCAATTTTTCATTGAGAATAATTTGTATTTTGTAAAAGACATGTTTATCAATTTTTAATGTAACTATAATAATAATAACAATGTATAATGCAGGTTGTTAACCAGCAGGTTGTTAATGGTTTATAATCAAAATTTAATATGGCTGGCGGTAAAGGTAAAGAGAAGTTTAAAGGAACAAACATTAGGTATTTACTTGTAAGTTAAGTGTAAAATTATATATTTTTAAAAAATCACAGTTCGTTTTTTTAATGCTAATTTATTTTTTTAACTTTTTGATGTATTTGTTGTAAATTACTCAGGCAATACCTTTTTCATAAAGAGCGTTTTGTCAATTAAAGTGACTGCTACAGTTGCCGAAATAAGAAAAGGAATAATGACTTTATTAAAATACGCACTCGACAGATCAAATGGTGGTGGTCGGCGCGTAAAAGGCGATTCACCCGATGTATAATATTCATACTTTTTTCTAGTTGTTCTGGAACTATTGATAATAGTTATTATTGATAAATTGATAAATATATTACTGATAAATAAAACTTTTTTTTTTCAAACATTTTACTTTATTTGCATTGTATATAAAGTCCGTTGAAGCAATTTAGTTGTATCTGATTAATTTACGTGAAATATAATATCCTCTGCGCAAATTATTGCTTTTTTATTGTATTATTTTATTGCAATTAAAATTGAGATAATTTTTTAGTTAATTGGATTTAACCAAAATAAAAAACAAAAATCAACGTTGAATTTACGTTCTTTCAACGTTGTTCTAACGTCTTATCAACTACGTATCAATCGAATATATCACCTATTCAAAGTTGAAATATGGTTGATATATAGTCGATAAGACGTTAGATCAACGTTGAAACGACGTAATCATCGACGTTGTTTCAACGTCGTAGTTTTCGACGTCGGATTTTATTTCCAATTCAACCAAATTTCAACGTTGTTTCAACGTGGTAAATAGTCGGTTTGCGACGTTGTTTCAACGTTATTTCAACGTCATTGTGCCCACTGGGTATTCTCTACGAAGATGATCATATTCTTGTAACAAACCTTATTAAAAATAGTACAAACATTATCATTATTAGTATTTATCTCACTTCATCGCGAAATAATCGAACATCTTTGGATGAATACGAGAATCAGTTAGACATATTTAAAGGCTTTATTAATAATTATGAAAGTGTTAACGAAGTAATTGTACTTGGTGATTTTCAATCGTTTCCTGACGGAATATATGATTTATTAGAAAGTTCAAAATTCAGGAAAAATAATAACTCCACGGCTTTATCAGAATTTATAAAAACAAATGATTTTGAACTACACTCTTAAGCCGAATGGTTCTCGGAAGAAATATTAAAGGTTCTTAGCGGTTATGCCAATGGAGCACCCTTTTAGGTTCTTTAAAGAACCTTATAAAATGGTTCTTCGCAAGAACCATCCGTAAAGGTTCTTTAAAGAACTACTTAGGGATCTTCGAAGAACTCTACCACGGGTGCTATATTTGAGCACCCGTTGAGGTTCTTCAAAGAACCTTTCATACAGTTTCGCATAAATTGCCTTCAAAATGTTATATTTTGTTGCAAGAGAGACACAGGCATTACCTTAGCGACTATTTTTAATTCTTTTCAAAACCATATTTAATTCCTTTTTAATTTAATAATGTAAATTAATTTTATTTTAATAAATGTTTCCTTTTTACAAAAAGTACTTTTTTTTTATTTCTGATTTTTGAAGGAGAGTTAAAAAATAATAAAATGAATAAATAAATCAATTTATATTGTTTTTATTATAACTATATAACTATAACTATAATATAATAACTATTTTTTTTTATATATCTAGAGAAAATCAACATTTAAAGAAATGTTTTATATTTAATATAAAATATAGCATATATACTTTTTTACTATAATAGTTTATATACAATATTATAATATATTGTAAATATTTTTTTATTATGAAAAAATAAGCATTTATAATAGAGTATTTTAAGAATCCACGTATGTTGCAACTTATGACTCAATGCATAATTATTAAAATAAATGTAAAACCACTCCAGAATAACATAAACAATTAATTTTAAGGGTAAAAAAAAAGCTGAATTATTGACTATGCAAATATATAATTACAAACACATAATAAATCAATTTGATTACTCATTCAAAGTATTTGCCATTCTCGTTATAGTCACTGGTGATGCTTTAGTAGACAATCCATACACAATATGTTCATAAAACAACAATGTGTTCTTCAATTGCGCTGGATATTGAATATTATATATATAATACGATGCAAAAACACACGACATAGCCAACGAAACATCAACATCGCTGAAATGCTCTATTATGTTGCAACCATCCAACATTACACAACAGTCTTTTGTTATTAGCCTTTGTTTTTTTGGCACTTTGATAGTTGGCGTACTCTGCAATGGTTTGATGTCAAACGTAACCAGGCAGTCTATAGATTCTTTGAACAGTCTTGGTAAAACAATAATGGCTGCATTTAATGTGGCATCTGTAATGTAACAAATTATTTATAAAAAACTGTTAATAGTAAAATAGAAGACCAGGCCTTAGAATTAGGTAGAAAAAGCTTATTATATTGTTTAGATGGAATGAATACACTGTTGAAAAAGTCTAGTATAAAATTAAAAAAAAAAAAAAAAAAAAGTCTAGTATAAAATTCGAAACAATCAGCAAAAACTCGATGACCTCAAAAACAGTTAGGTCACCATAGCCGAATGTAGATCCTAATTCCAAGGGTTGTATAAGGCCACGTGCAACTACTAATAATCGAAATCAGAACTACTAATAATCAAAATCAGAACTACTAATAATCGAAATCATTAATATTTTAAATCAAAATTTAATTTACTTTTACTTTACATTGCTAACATTTTATAAAATATTGCGACACAAATATTAAACATTACCTTTCTTCATGGAGTCATCAAGTTCACACTCAATTTCTGCAGAAATTGCATTTACTACATCATCTTTATGCTTTGATTTTACGAGTTGCATAATTTTGTCAGCCATTCCACCCATACATTGGTGGAGTTGTTTGTCAAGATCTTTGGCAAATCTTAATCTCATTTCATTTAGAAACTTAAAAAAGAAATTATATATATATATATAATTAAAATTGCAATCATTTATTGAGTGTTTCAGACATTCAACAAAGTTTTAAATTTAAACTACCTTAATATAAAAGTATTTTAGGGACCAATATTCTATAATATGGGCCTATCTATTATTTATTCACATTTATTATATAAAAATAACCTTTTCCTAGTAAAAGCTACCCAAATGAAGTACAAAATGGGTTAGATATAAAAAGTGAAAAAAGTGAGTACAACCAATTAATTGATTGTTACCCTATATATATATATATATATATATATATATATATATATATATATATATATATATATATATATATATATATATATATATATATATATATATATATATATATATATATATATATATATATATATATATATATATATATATATATATATAAAACACTTTTGAAAGTATCAATTTATATAAATTAAAAAGTTATTTTTTTCAGCCTACCAAAAGTATTTTGAGATAAAACTTTTTTCAAAGAGAATAAAAAAATGTAAGAAATAATAATACAATAAGTAATTTATAACTTTATAACTAGTGTAACGCAGAATTTTAAAAGTAAAATATTATGCTAATAAAAACAAACCAATCTAGCAATAGAGAGCCAAGGATAGGTAGATTTTAAATCTGCTGTACTTAATACAGAATCAAAATCCTTTGCACGAGCAGCACAAGTACGTTGCTGGCGATCCAACAGCATGTTAATGTCTGGCCGGAGCTTATTGCATTCTATTTTCATGTCATCATGATGTTTTACAATAGTTGTTTCATCTTCCCCAAGAGGAAGTTTGTTGGGCTTTAAAAAAAAGATGTTTTAAAAATAGAAACTTTACTTTTAAATAAATCTTTCTTTTTTATTTGTGAAAAAACTAAATGCATGTATAAAGCAAAAAATATTTATACCAATTCTCTATTTTTCCTAGTACAAGATTAGTTATCACTAACAGCATCTTCCTTTCTTTTTCGACCTCTACCTTGTTGGCCAAATTTCTTCTTATGTTCAGCAACAACAGACAAATGGATTAAAGGAGCTCTTTCTTTTTTAAACTTGTTCTTCAAGCTTTCTAATAGTGTTGGCTAACATGTGTATGTGTGTGTGTTAAGGTGTTTAATATTTTATCTATTTTTGAAATTGAATTTCGGTTTATAAATTGAAATATAAATAAACTTAGAAGTATAAATATAAATAATACATATAAAAAAGCTAATAGGGATGTAATCAGTAAATGCAACAAAAGCATTACATAGAAACTTACACAAACAACATATCTATAAGAAGAAGTACTTTTTGATGGGAAGTCACTTAAGTGTGGATACCTACTGCAAATGGCAGCAAGTACAGCTGAGTATTGCACACCTGATGGATACCTATACAAAAATCTTTAAATATATGTTTTACATAATTATTATATTATACATATATAATATAATATTATACATAAACTACATTTATTTATAAAAACAAGTTCTATATAACCAAGTGAAATTTAAGTTTTAAATAATGCAACTTACATTGTGTATCTGCTGATGTCGTCATAAAGACATTGTAAAAGCTGGTTCCTACATTTGCTACGATTCAAGTTAAGAAAACAATGATCTTTAGCATCTAAAGCTGCATTTACTGATGGAGGCAAAATGGGTAGTTGATAACACACTGGCCATGGTTTCATACTTTGGGACACTCCAGCAATCATACTACCATCTTCATCACAAGATATTGGGGATGTTATTGATGTATTTAAAACATCATTTTCAATAACACTAATTAATATATTATTTCAATTACTATGCACTCTAATTACATTTTCTTTTTGTAAAAAACAAAACCTTTTATGAACAACTAATTTAAGAGTGATATATATCAGATACAACTTATTAAGTAAAAATTTAAAAATTAAAAAGTAACATATAAGCTAAAATAAAAATTTGTTTACTAAGAGCTAGTTCTTTCGTGCTGTTCATGTGAAGTTATAAGATGCCTTATAATTTCAATGAGTACTACTTGCCGACGAATCGTCTGACATAAACTGGCCACCATTGTCTCAGTTAAAGACACCAGCGTTTTTCCATCAATTTCTTCCTCTATAATAAAATACTTACAAAAATTGTGAAAGGGTAAATGTTGAGATTTTAAATTAATTAATGCAATAAAATATTTAATCAGCTAAAGACGCGGCAGCTCTCATAAAAAATAACACAATAAATATTTTATTTTATTTTAATAAATAAAAATAAAAGCAAAGTATTTGCACATGTAATACATTTTGGCAAGAAAAAAAGTATCCAAATAATGATATCAAGTTAACTACAACATTGTTATAATAAAAATCTAAAGAGATTCTATAAAAAACAACTGTATCTGAGTGTAATATAACAGCACCCATCCTGCAAAACATATGTGTCTATCAATTGGTGATCAAGAACATCTGCTGGTAAGCATATTGTCAAATCTTCTTCTTCCACAACTCTGAAGGCATGCAAGTGAGCAGAGTATTTATCACAAATAAGAAACTTGCCACAAAACACCCAGTGATGACGAAATCTTATAATATGATATATTTTAAAAAATAATGGTATTTCTTCCACATGTAATAAAGCTAGAATCACTGTATCATGAACATGAAATTGGATTCCATTTATAAGCAAGCTGCTACACTTCCAAATAGTTTCTTTCTTATCAGTAATACTATAACCAAAAAAACTTACTAGTTTTTCTTGAAAAGAAGCTGCTAAACTTTCAAACAAAATGGAACAAAGATTATAAGTTTTCTCATATTCTTTGAAGAAATCTGAGGATGTCATCTCCCAACACTGCCGTAACTGGTGTCGTTTTGCAAGCGAATAGGCAATATTTTTAAAATTTCTAATCGAAGAAGCCAATTTTTTGAAATACAAGTGTTTTGCTTCAAAACGCATACACCATAAATAACGTAGTGGCCCATAATCATTAATAAGACGAGCATAATGAAGCATGAAATGAAACTTGGGTGTAAAATTGTCTGGGAAAAGTTCAGCAAAATTGTGCAAAAACTGCTCCACTAAAAATTGCAGAAACGATAACACTGATTTAGAAATTTTTGGAGCAAACACATAATCAGCTATTTCTCTAAGCTGTAAATACAGCAACCAATATTTGTTAGACATAGGTATACGATTCCCTATCATAAATGGTAACAAACGAAACATACAATATTTTTGTGAGGCTGATCCAATAAAATTAATAAAAGTAGCAGAACGTACAACAAATGGAACTGGTTTATTCAATCTGTCATTTCTACCTATTTCAAATGTATTAAGCTCTACATTTATCTGATCAATCGAAATTAATTTATCTTCTTTGAGTTTTAACAACAATAGACTAATTAATCGAGGAATTGTACCTTCCAGCATGTCATGCATTATGTCTGGTGGAAACGATTGCATAACTTTAAAATATGATAAATCTAAAAAAGGACAACGCCTTTCAACACCGTACATACTTGATGAAATTTGACCTTGGCCATAAATAGCAGCCAAGTGATACTGACGGATTTCATCAGTACGAAGTGTTGCATCAAGCTCAGAAAATATATTATTTTTGTTAGTATATGAAGTCATACACTGACGACAAAAAAAACCAGAATTAAAAACACGACGAAAACCAGCCAGTGCATGGGCTGAAAGGTTATCAGCAGAGATTGTTGCTAAGCCACCATATAATCGTGTCTGTTGGCCATCAACCATAACTAATATGCCTTCATTTTGTAATGTTATTAAATCTTGAATGAAAGGTTTTAAAACATCCTTGTATGTTTTATGTTCTTTAATTAATTTTTCTTTAACAAGAATGCATAAGTATATATTTTGAAGTCTTGATATATATTTATCTTCAATGTTACCCAGGAAAAAGTAAAATGCACATATTTTATGTACTTTACGATGAGCTCCAATCGGATTGCATACCTCAAATTCATCAATATACAAATGGAGTCTTAAAGCATACTTGTTATTAAAAATGTTATGGTGCTTGCAAATAAAACCATCTGAATATGAATAAAGCAAATTTGTTTTCACAGACAAATCATTCTCTAATTTTCGTTTTATAGAATTTCATATTTCCTCTTTTTCAATTAACTGTTTAAGCAGTGGTAAAATTGGAATGTATTGAAAAGACTCTTTAATGTTTGTGTTATTATCATTATTACAAGTTGTATCACCAAAAGCGTTTTCAATAATAGCACTTTTAGGTAAACCATTTTGATGATCACAATTTGAATTTACACAAAAATCATTTTCATCTAAGATATCATCTTTACTACACAAATTTATTTCAAGTGGCAAAATAAGTCCTAAATTGGCTTTACTAAAGGCAATAATTTTTTTGCTGGAGTTAACAACTGATAAAACTCTATCTAAAATCAATTCATTGTTTAACAAATTTTGTAAATTTTCATTTGATACTAAGCTGTTGCCTAATTCCTGTTTTATAATACTACAAAAATTATTATTATAATAAGTTAGCAAGGATTGGACTTCATTAGCCAAATCAATTTGCACCACAGATGGAACAGAATGCTTTTCAGCTATTCCGACAATAAACAGAGCAAAATGCTGCTGCAAGGTGTCTAGCAACTTTTCTAATGACATAGACAAATCAGGTGAATCAGAATGAAAACAACTGATAGTTGCATTGTCACATTCATTTCCATTGCTTTGATCATCACAGTTTTCTAAATATTCATTTTCTAATATTTCAGCAGTTGAAGTAGTGCAGACGTTTGTTGACAAATTATTTGAATAGTAAATTGTAGTATGTTTAATTCTAATATGCTGACGCAAACATTTTATAGATTTATAGGATGCTGGGCAACCATCAATATTACATACAGCAAGATAACCAGCTGTATGCTCATGCATAATATGCAAATGATCTAAATATTTTTGCATAGAATACTTATGTATACCGCATGTGGAACAGGTAAAGCATATAATATTACTATTTGCTGCCATTCCAAAATATTTTACTTAAATTTAAGTTAAAAATGACTAGACTAAAAAAAAATAGGCCGTGGATAGAGTGCCGAAAGTACTCGGCACTCTAACGAAATATGCTTATAGTGCCGGAAGCCCGTTTATTGGTTAAAAAAAATCACGTGCCAAAACAAATTCCGATATCATATATTTTAAATTCCAATCATTGGAAAAATATTTGAACTATATATTGGAAAAATTTCATTTCATTTATACTTTGAAGATGTCAACTAGTTTTGCATGCAAAGATATTTTTTTATCATTTGAAGATTTAAATAATAAAGATAATAAAAATAAATAAAGATATAATTACATGTTTAAATGCAAAAATATGGCTTTATTGTTATGCATCAACCTCATATTTAATCATTGATATTTTTTGATTTTGATTTAAAATTGTACACTTGCAATATAAACAATAATTTCATAATATACATAATAATAACTTATACTTACAATACCTATACTTGTAAATACTTGTAATATAATAATTATGTTTATAATATTGATAAAAAATTTTATTGATATAAACTTTTGCATTCAAACCTTAGTTATAAAACTTTAATTTAACTTAATAACTTTAACATAAATAACAATAACTAAAAAAAGATGTTAGTTATTATATAGATTATAGCTATATGCTTATTTATTATAATTGAGTTACAGTAAGTTAAACAATATAAAATATTATGTTCCAGGCAATAGGTCTTATATGATATGTATCTTATGTATATCTTGTATTTTGCAGCATGTTAAAGAATATTTCTGCATGGTGCACTCTGACTGTTGACAATATTTGCATATTGATATGAGTAAAAGTGACTTCAACAACCAGAATGTGTTTTTGATAAATATTAATAATAACAGGTTAGTAAATATAATTATAGTAATAATGGCAATAACTTTTTATTATTAGAATTAGTAAGAGACTTATGTATAATAGAGCTACATTAACTTTGGGGGACAAATATAATAACTTGAGTAAATATTACCGTTGTTTATAACCTCGATTAGAGTAATGTAAGTAAATATTATTTTTATCTAAAGAATATTCGGCAAACGTCAGTATTTCCTAAGTATTAAATATTATAAAAAAACATGTGTTTAAAAAAAATTTATAAAATATTAATCATAAAATAAAAAAATAACTATTTGAGTATAAAATAAAAACACATTATTATTATAATTTATATACATCACATTAACTATGTTGCCTATAAAGTAGGGGTTGCAGCTGATATTTCAGCTTCAGCTATAAACTCATTAGCTTCAGATTAATGCTGAAGCTGATCAAGTCAGTTTAATCATCTTGATAGCTGATAGTAAAAGAGAATAATACTCCATAAATTTTTTGTATAAAATATATTTTTATATAGGAATTTATTCAATGTAAATCTAAAATAGTGACAAAATTTAAACATACATGTAAATTTTAAATAAAATTTGCCAAAAGTTGTTGCTATTTATAAATGTTGCCATCAGAGCCAAGGCCTAGGACTTACAATATTAGGGGACCCAAATTATGTTTTTAAAAATTTGTTTAAAAAGTGGTGCCCAAAAATCTAATTCTATTTTTAATTATCTTAAGGGGACCAACTATCTTTTGTTCAAAAAGAGTACACCTTGCAAGTATTTCATAGGTAAAAAAAAAAAGGAAGATAAAACGATAAAAAACTTTATTTTTTTTTCAAAACATATTTTACGTCAGAGTGGATTTTTTTTGCTAGATGTGGATGTTCGTCTAATAATGTAGCTGCATCTGAACATATTAAATTTCATATTAAATTTGACTGTTAAGACGGCATATAATGTTTTTACAGATGGTTGCAACTTCTCACTGCTTTAATAATCATTCCTTAGTGAAAATACCTTTTCAACAGCAGCATTAGTGCCTGGATAACATAAAGAAATTTCTGTTAAAACTTTTAAATTTTCATGTGGGATATATTCTACTCTAAAATGCCGAAAGATTTCCACCCATCTTTTTTCAAGTTCTATTTTCTCATTGTTCCATTTCTTCAATTTTTATTCATTTAAAAATAAATTTACTCTTCCAATTTCTTCAAAAAGAAAATTGTCATTAATAACAATATCTTTTGCTTCCTTTATTACAAATTCGACTGCTGAAGAAACTTTTTTTCATTAAATTTTACTATTTATAAGGGTCCATTTAAAACAATTTAATGCTCTAAAGTTCATTATCCATTCTTCGATATATTCATAGCAAATTTTATAAAAATTTTTAACTTCTTTTAAATTTTTTTTGTTATCCTTTTATTTAATTAAATAAATGGATAAAAAACTTTGCTGTACATACTACGCATGCCTCAAGACTGTCAAGCTGATCTTTGATGTGCGTACATACTGCACATCAAAGATCAGCCTGGGGATTACATATGCAAATGTTGGATCCATCTCTTTTCACAAATGTAATTTTGACATTGTTAGAAAAAGAGGTCTGTAGTATCTATCTATCTCTCCAGGTTCATAATACGGCCTCTCAATCGTGTTGAAAATGGCAGCCATATGTGCGTTCAAAATTTAAATCACTGTCAAACTTGTATCTGGTGTTTGCCCTGTCCTCTGACGTGCTGGAAATGGCTAGCAATATGTGCGCATGAAATTCAAATCACTGTCAAAATAATTTTAAATATTTAATTAATAAAATTGAAATGAAATAATATTTAAAAAAATGTTTTAGAAATACAAATGAGTACAAAATTATACAAATGAGTACTTTCAGAGTACAGGATTTGAAAAAAGTACGGTTTGTGAAAAAAGAGTAAAAAAACTCAGTAAATGAGAATAGCAGGTCACCTTAATTGTCTACATAATTTTTTGGTATATTTCAAAGTTATTGCAAAAGATGGTTTTATCTATGAAAATATTGAGTTTAAAATCAATCTTGCTGTTATCATATGTGATGCACCAGCTAGAACATTTGTAAAGTGTATTAAAGGACACAATGGTTATAACTGATGTGAATGTTGTGCTTAGAAAGGAGAGTGGTGTGGCAAGATAATTCTCCTACATATTTAACTAATTTTAAGCACTGATTCAGATTTTTTGTCATTAAAAGCATTCTGAACATCTTAGTGATGTGTTAAATTGAATTAAATTTTGACATGGTGACAAAGTTTCCTTTAGACTTAATGCATCTAGTATGCTTAGGGGTAATGCGAAGATTTCTCAACTTATGGTTGAATTGCTCAAATGTTGTAAATTGTCTCAGATTACAGTCAATACTTTATCTGGCGGATTGTTCCAGATACGTCATTACATTCCTAGAAATTTTTCTAGAAAATCAAGGTCTTAATTAGATATTAAAAATTGGAAAACAACTGAGCTTAGACTATTTATAGTAAACACTGGACCAGTTGTTTAAAGGGAATGGTTTAGCCAAAAATGTTTTCAATTTTTTAGATTTTTCAGTTGTAGTTCTACTTTCATAATGTTTCATTTTGTTGAAAAAATATGTTAATTTTGCTTTTCAGCTACTTATCTTTATATGTGAACTTTATCATAAGGATCAACTAGTGTACAATGTCCATTCATTAGCACATATAGGAAATAATACAGTTAAATTTTAGGTACTTGATAGATGTCCCTCTTTCAAATACAAAACTTTTTCAGGTCAATTAAAAAATTTTTGTCTAGGGGTCTCATTTGCAAATTTAGGGGCCCTTTTACAAATGTAAGGATTTTTTTTTTTTAAGATTTTTATTTAGATTTTGTTTATCTATTGGAAAAGTTTTTAGGAATTTTGGAGCCCTTTATGACAGGTTTTTTTTTGGAATGTATGTAGTAGCCATGGCACTGTATATAAGGTATATAAAATATATATCAAATTATATACAATATAAATAAAAAAAATATATTTATTTAATTTATTTATCAGTAACTAAAGGAATGTTATCAATTTATTATATGAATCATAAGCCTGTGCTTATCTATTGCAAGTACCTTTGATGGTGAAAATTACATTTTTTATCTGAAGAGAGTTGGGAGAATTTGTAAGAGTTTTATAACATATTAAAATTAATGTGTGTTACCAATAAAATTTAAAACTAACAGTTAAACTTAATTTTTTACAGTTCATATTGAAACAAGATATTGTGTAAAGAGGTTTTCAAAGAAGTCGTTTTAACAACAATGGAAAAGCTTCCGATTCCCGAGATAAACGTGAAAGCATTTGATACATGATTAAAGAATCGTTCAAAAGTTTGCTTAATTTTGACAGTGTAATTTTAATTGCTATTTTTTTTGAAATAAACCAATCAATTTATTTGCTTTTTCTATAAATTTTAATCTTGCAAAACTACAAACGTAGTTTTGCAAGATTTGCAATGGGTAAACCTCGTGGGACCCTCTCGGGATATCCGGCGGGTATACCCATATGGGCCCCAGAAGAAAACCGTGGCCATGATCCGGCGGGTTCCCGATGGGTTTCCCATATATTTCCCATTTGCAAAGCCAAATGGGTCCCTTACGGTTTTAAAGTACGGGATTTGACTGGGACCCATACGGGATACCCGGCGGGCTAACCCATATGGGTCCCATATGGAAACCGCGGTCATGATCCGGCGGGATATCGTTGGTCTTCCCATACGGGACCCAGTTGACGACCCGTATGGGCCCCGTACGGTACCCGTATGTCAATGTTGGCTGGGTACTATACTTTTAACCACAATTTGACTTAATTGATTGCAGTGTTATTGGATATAAATTTGTTTTTTCAAAGTTTTGTTCCAATCAAGGCAATTGTTTCCCTAAGTTTGAACACTTTGATTCCTTCATCAAAACAGGTTATTTTTTAAAAGAAAAAGTTCAGTAAAATCAACTAAAATTTGTAAAAAATGATTTTTCCTGTATACAGTAAAAATTTAAACAGTTAGTTAATAACTTATTATAGGATTAGTATTACCTGACAAATTTAAAGTCTACAAACAAAAAATTGTATAAATCTTTAACTGTTATGACGTTCTCTTAATTTCTAAATAAAGTATTATTTTTAAGGTAAAAGTATTTCATTAAGGTTTATGGTTGTTACTAAGTATTTTTTTAATTGCACTCGAACTATTTTTACAACCCTTTGATTTTATTACTGATTAGGTAAGGAAAACTTCAATGTTCCAATCAAGGAAACTTTCGACTATTTTGTTATATCACTACAATAACATGCTCGCAGCAACTTATAAGATAAGTTTATATTGTTATTTTCATACATTATTATTTATTGAAAACCAACTCATTTGGCCACATCGGCCAAATTAGGATCCAACCTTAAATTATAAGGTAAACAAAGGCATCAAAATTAAAAATACATAGTATTTATCTCTGTATTTTTAACTTGTTCTGAGAATCTATATTGTAAACTTTTCTCAATTACAACTATTGTGTTCTCAATTAAATCTTACGGTTTCTTATTTAAAACTTTTATGTTTTAAATTACATCTTACGTTTCTTAATTACAACTTCTATATTCTAAATTACATATTACGTTTCTCACTTACAACTTTTATTTTCTCAATTGCTTCTTATGTTTCTTAATAACAACTATCAAGTTCTCAATTACATTTTGAACACTTAAAAGTGTTGTCTTTTTAAGTAGAGTAAATTTTTGTTACGGTAATGGTAAAAACCCTTATCCGGCCGGGCTGAATTTAGGACCTACGGTTTACTACTGTTTTTCTAAACCAGTCTATATTTTCTCAATCATTTAGCTTACCATTTTTGCAGGTATTAATTTTCTTTTAGTTAATTGAAATGATATTCATAAGTGATTTTTAATTATTATATACCATATCGAAAAAGTTTTTGTTATTTAAAAATATGTTTGCTATTTAAAAATATGTTTAAAAATTGTTCGATTTTTTTAATGATTAAAATAAAAGTTCTCCCAAGTATCTGATATGTTTTTTATTTAAAACTTATATTTTAAAAAGTAATTTCGAAACTAAATTTCCAAACGATACTAATTTAAAAAACTTATTTTCTTGAAATTTGAATCAATATGTTTTTTGTTTTTTTCTAAAGAAAACTAAATGAAGCTCTAGCGTCTCTTCTTTAACTAAGTTTATCAAAGGCATCAAAAATATAAATGTATATAGCCTTTATATTTTTTTCTCGCTACCTATATTAAAGGTAGCGAGAAACTCTGAAACCATTGGCTAGATGTTATGTTTCTATATTGTTGCACAGTTATAAAATTTATATAAAAAAGAATACAAATGTATTTGTAAACATAAGCTTTGGATACTGTATTTTTCCATTAAAATGATAGTATACATAATGGCTTATATTACTGTTCGAAAATTATATATTACTATATTACTGTTCAAAAAAGTTGATCAAATGATAACAAGTTTGTTATAATAAAGTAAACTTCCAGTTACCATTTACTATTAGAAATATTTAATTATCAGTTAATTTTAAAACATGGGTCAGAAATATAGGTAGCAGAAATGCATTAACAACTTTCATGGTTTGAACAAAATAAAAAACTGTAAGTTGCTTATAATAATTTATTTTCCTAAAACTACAATGTTTAAGTTGCTATTGTGTTATTTAAAAAACACTATTATTTTAATAAAATAATAGTGTTTTTTAAATAATTTGAAAGGATTGGAAATTTTTTAAAATAATTTGTTTTTTAAAATAATTTGAAAGGATTGGCAATTAAAACTATCAAACAAAAACTATAAAATTTTTATAGTTTTTGTTTGATAGTTTTAATTGCCAATCCTTTCAAATTATTTTATTATATTTCTTTCAACAAAATCATAAGTTTAAATGGGTTTGTATTCAATGAAATAAGTTGGTTCTCCTAAAACAACAATGTTTAAGTTGTGATTTTGTTATTTATAATAAAACAATAATTTTATTGTTTTTGTTTTATAGTTTTAGTTTTGAAAATATCTTATTATATTATTTTAAACTATTTTAGAACAAATCTATGGAATCTATACGTAAAAGTCAAAGACCCAAAAAAATTCCTGGTCACTTTTTGGAAGTTGCACCTCATACAAGTAATGCTGCTCCTAGAAGAAATATTAAAAATCCAATTCGTCCAAATCCACTTCCTGATTTTTGTTGTGATAATTGTGGTTCACGATATGTTGTAAATCCAATGAGAAGAGGTAATAAAGCTGCTGCTACTCCAAGATACAAGCCAGCACCTCGCCACAAAATAGACCCAGCTACACAGAAGGTTCTAACATTATGCAATGCTTGTGGTAAATTAATTTTTAGTTTGTATATAAAATTCTAGTTACTTATCTGTTTAAGTTAAAGAATAAATTTATAATTTGTGTAGAAAAAAACTTGAAAATAATTTTTTATAGTTTTTCCCTATTTCATTTTAATAATAATTTTATAAATGTTTAGGATTAAAATTTAAGCGAAAAAAAAAAGACAAGCCAGATAAAATACAGTTAACAGAGGAAGAAAAGAAAGCTTTTAATGATGAAGGTGAAGCTTTTGCAAAAGGATTAGCAAATAAGTTAAACAGTGATTTAGGTATAAACAGTATTTTTGCATCTGTGTTTGCTTTTTTTTTTTTTTTATAAATATATGAAAGTTCTTTCTGGAATTAATTTGTTTTGCATATTAGGAAACTGTTTGAATAATAAATAATTTGGTAATTGGTATACATATAGCAATAATATTAATAATTAAAATTGAGTATTATTATTGTTGCATATATTATAGTATGTTATATATGATGTAGTATATTTTATAAAATATATTCTATAGAGTATATTAAAATCTAATGCAATAATGAACTGACATTAAAAAAAAAAAAAAAAGGTCAAAATCCACTTTTACTTTTTGCATATCGCAAGACCCTCTTATATATATACATATATACAGAAGTGGAAAGTAACAAATTATATTTACTTGCGTTCAGGGTTGCATGGTTTTAACCAAATGGTTTAAACCATTGGTTTAAACCATGGTTTAAACCAATTTAAAAAATGTTGGTTTAAACCAAACTAATGTTTTTTTTAAAAAGATTTGAACTTACATCAAGAAACTAAGACAGGGTTATGCTCACATAACTAATCTTCAATATAGATATATTTTTTTAAATCCATGATTTTTTTTTTTAATTTATCAATATGCTGAGGATACACTCTACCTAATAGAACTGAAATTGAAGGAGAAAGATAGGGTTTACGCAGAAGAAATTGAAAAATGTAATGTATTGAATGGGAAAATTGTAGTCATGTCTTTAGATGGCTGGAGTAATGTACATATTGAACCTATAGTTTGTATCTTTGTTATTACAGATAAAATTAACATTTTAGTAGAAACAATCAACACTTCTGGTCATTCACATACTGGTGAATATCTTACACAATTAGCAAGAGAATCAATAGATTTTGTAAGACGTAAATTTGGATGCACAGTAAAAAGCTTTGTGACTGACAATTCAGCTAATGTGAAATTGATGAGACAAGTATTGTCATCTGAAAGAGATATTATCATAACTTATGGGTGTGCTGCTCATATGCTGAATCTTTTAGCAAATGATCTTAACATTGAAAATGTGAGCAAGCATGTTAAACAAATAATAGAATATATAAGAAATAATCATCAAGCTGGAGCAATTTATAAAATAAGCTGAGGAACAAAATTCATCAAACAAAAATAAGCGACTCTTGAAATTTTTAAAGATTTGATGAACAGTTTATCATTTTTATCAAAAAAAAAAAAAAAAATTAATCTAGATACCTTCAGACTGTCAGTGATGCTCATTTCCTGGCAAACACACTAGATCCTAGATATTTTGGATCTAATCTTTCTGAAAATGAAAATGAAGCTGCCATGAATTTTGCAGATAAAGAGTTCAAGAATTTGTTACCAATATTACTCAAATTAAAAGCTAAATCTACTATAACATAATGGAAGTTGAAGGTTTATTAAATGTACCAGCTTCTAGTGCTGGAATCAAAAGAATTTTTTAAACTTTTGGTCTTTTTCATTCTAAGTTAAGAAACCGATTGGGAGTAGAAAAAGCAGCAAAGCTTGTATTACAATGATATATTAAATAATTTTGATGAAATATAACAATAATATTGATAAAGAATATAGTTTACTCAAATAAAATACGTTATGCTTTTTTTAATTTAAAAGAATAACTAAATACCCATTTTTTAGTAAAAACCTAATTTAAACCAAAAAAACCATGTTTTTTTTTTTTTTTTTTTTTTAAAAAAAACCTATGGTTTTTGGTTTTTAAAAAAAAAATGGTTTTTTTGCAACCCTGCTCGCATTACTGTAATTGAGTAGTTTTATTTTTAATTTTTGCTTTCTAAATATTTTTTTAAATGTGTACTTTTACTTTTGCAATTTTTTAATTTATATTTTTTCAAAGTACTCTTCTACATTTTAAATCATATATGTTACTGAGTAAAAAATTTATTAAGTAAATAACTTAACATAAAGTATGAATTAGTTTTTTTAGTTGATAAAAATTATCGCCTATTTTATAAAGTTGTTTGCATATATTTTTCATTTTCTAAGTAATTTTACACAAAGTACATAAATTATTGGAACATCTTTGCAAAATACAATGAAAGATTTCCTGCTTCTATGTTTCTGCTGATAAAATGAGTTTTAAATTATGACAAATTTTAATATTTTTCATATTAAAGAGCACACACTTAAAAACATTACTTAAATATAGTAATTGTAAATATATACTGAAAAGAATTGACCGCATTGTTTATGTTTTTTATTCAACAGGTCTGTTGCCTGAGAATGGTTATTAAAAAAGTAACGCGGTAATGTTTACTCTGAGTAAATTTTTAATGAGCTTTTTATTTTTTACTTGAGTAAACTTTTTAAACAGTAACGCTTACTTGAGTATAATTTCACTAAAGTAAATTTACTTTTACTTGAGTAAAAAATTTGTTACTTTTTCTACGTATTTCCATGTATTTGACAGAAATGCAGCTTTAAAAAAAATGTTGTTATTGTTATTGAGTTTATTCTCTTTAACATTCTCTTTGGTCTTGGTGGAAGTTTTTACAAAGTATCTTGTATAACTAACAGTAATTTTTTTTTTTGTTATTATTATTACTGCTAATTAATTGTTATTGTTAGTACTGTTAGTTAAAGTTTATAAGTATAATGATTTTTATTTTTAAATTAAGTTTGCAATCTCAATGAGAGGTCATATATTTTAATATGTTTTTGAGTTAATATCATAATTTTTTTAAAGCAAGTCGATTATATTGCTCAAATGTAAAGAAAACTGCTTGTGGTTGCATTCAAAAGTTTATTTGTGGATCAGGTAATTAATCAAATCAGTTTATGATCTATCCAGTTTAAATTATTTATCAATAATAAATTATTTAAAGTAAAAAATTTGAATTGTGCAGGTAACATCAGAATATTTTTTATTTTATTTATAAAAAGATCTTTTAATAATAACTTGTGAAGTGCATGTTCTTATAATTTAATTTGTGGTTATTAAAGTACTGATTCAAGTACAGATCCCCCTTAAGTAACAATTTTAACTATAATTATTATAACAATATTGACTATACTTATGTCTTATTGATCATGTTTATTTAACATAACAAAAAAATTGTTAAATAATACATTTTATTTTGGCAAATATTTAACATGACTACAAATAAAAAAAAGGATCCCTTTGAATGACATTCATTACCAACAGAGGAAAAATCTTTTTGACTTGATCCATTGCATTGTAGCAAAATTATTTTGAGTATACTCAGTAAAAAATCAATTTATTTCAAAAGACTTGGAGTTCATGACATATTTTATGTTAAATAGCATTGAATTCCTTTCATAACATATTTCATGATAAATAACCATGAATTCCTTTTGATAGTGGATAAAGATGTAATCTTGTTGATTTAAACATTATTTCCTGTCTAAGATGATGAACACTGAATCACTTTTATTCTATTTGTGCATTTTAGATTATAGCTTTGTGTGTGGCAATAAAACTCCTGTCATCTTTTAATATAAATACTTATGTAAGACTTAGTTTAAAAGTTCTGAGGCTGGTAGTATGTTTTTAAGAACTCTATTAACATTCAGAGAGGCTCTGTCAACAACTATAAAATATTAGGCTATTAAAACAGTTCTATATTGTGCATGGTGTCTCTGTTGGCAATTTTGATTTTGCAAAGATGAGGCATAATGAAGCTTTGTGTGATTTTGAGTAAAGCTTATTTTAATGCTTTAGATAATTGTAAATAATTTTAAATTTAAATAATTGTAGTAACTAGAAATATTAAACATCAAAATTAAAATCATCTGATTGTTTTTATCATTCAATCTTTGACGTAACTTTTCTTTCATCGAATCTTACCTCTTTGAAAATTCACAAGATGTTTATTTCTAAGAGATGTTGATATTTATTATCTTATATGGACTTCAATAATCGCATGTTTAATCTGGACATATACTTATTAATTCTACTGTTGCCATGGAGTAAGTTTTAAAGCTTCTGACTATTTTTTATGTTACTTAACAACACTACTTTTTATTTTACATTTCTTTTCTTTTTTTTTTTTTTTTTTTTTTTAATTTCTCATAAAATTGACCATTGATCTGTGTTTAATGACTTTAATGGTTATTATTTAGTTTAACATTGTGCAAAATGATAATTATTGTTTTGTATTGTTTTTATAAAGCCAAAATAATCTATGTTTTGTATCATATTTTTACAAAATGAATTTATTTCATTCCATTTTGTACCATTTTCCAAAATAAAATGTTTTATTTTGCACTGATTTTTTTGAAACAAAAATTACTTAGTCATATTTTTATAATTTTACACAAATAAAATCAAAATTTCTCATAAAAATAAAAAGTAATTATCTCTTTAAAATTTAACACAAACAAATTAAATATATCAAACAATTGAATTAGTTTCCTCGTTTATTTTAATGGCTTTAAGCGTGCTTATATTGCCAATTTAATCATTATTTATATTAGTTATGTTTTTAAATGTCAATTTTATTTATTGATCAGCCAACAATTGTTTTTTAACAGTTGTAACATACTTATACTTGGAAGTATAGATTAGTTTATTTCAAAACTAAATAGTTTATTTTTTTACATTTTCATACATTTTTAAATATGTCCATTTCCATCTCCATTTTTCATTCACTTTTAACATCTCCGTTTTCATTAACTTTTAACGTCTCTATTTTTCATTAACTTTTAAATAGTAATTTAAAAAATTTTAACTTATCTAATTTAATCATTTTTGAAGTTCTTTAAATTAACTCTAAAATGATTTAATTTCCAGTTGCATTAAAAGTTTACATTTCTGATTAGTTATTACTTATTAGTCATTTTGAAGAAAAAAAAATTGTAGTTGTTAGTGTAAATTATGTTAAAATCATTGCTTCATCAGCACCAGGTTTTTTTGCAGAAATAAAATATTTATAATAAAAATTATAAAATTATTGTTTCTAATTTTAATACATAATTAGACAATACATCATTTTTAGAGTTCATCATGAGACATTAATGAACACATATTTAATTAGTTACGACAATAATCAAAAAGTAACACAGTTTGAAATGGTTTGGATGAATATGATGATGTGCAAAGTGTAGGGGTTAAGCACAGTACGCAAGGATAATGATCACAACCATCTTTATAAAAGACTTCAGTGGAACAGTTTTTGTTTTCTATCTAACCTTTTCAATCAGATCAATAGAAAACCAGCCTAAAAATAGCATAAAAAAATGTATTATTTATATCTCTTGTAAATTGGTGAACTCATTTACCAAATGTTAGAATAATGTTTTCTATAATTTTTGCAATAGCAAGCAATTTTTTTTATTTCTGTTTTCTATAAATCTGATTACATTGTTCAAAGTGTTCAGTTCCAGTGGTGGAATTATTTGTGATGATAGGGAATTTTTCCACTTAGTCTGCAAATCGATTAACTTTGTTCAAATTCAATTATGGCCTTGTCCATTAATACACAATTGAAAAATTGGTCTTACTGTTATTAGCTATCATGCTATAACTATTTTAGTCTTTTAGTGTTGTATGGGTGATTGCGTAGTAGGATATATAATATCTTATATGCTCTGTATGCATTAAAATCATGTATTAATATTAAATCAATATTAAATCAATTAAATTAAAGTCAAAAGTGTAGAAGTAAAAATTTTAATGTAAGACAGCAAGATTATTCAATCTTGCTGTCTTACATTAGATTTGACAGATTGTTGCAGATTGAATGTTTGTTGCATAATTAGAGAACAATCTGTCAAATTGGTTTCAAAGTTTGATATTTTTATGCATGGGGCAACTTGCCATACACTATACAGTACAAAAGCAGTTCTACACTTTGAATGGTTGGATTTTTTTAGCCATAACTTGTATCATAACATAACCATAACCATAACATATGACTTTAGTTTCTCTGATGTCAATTAGCAGCAAAGAGAAAAAAAGGCAGCTAAGTATTGCCGATTGTAATCAATTTCCCCTTTTTGTTTTTATTAGTCAAATTCTTGTGATACAAAACTTTATTTTACCAAGAGGTTGTTGCAAAAGGTCTAATGCTAAAGTTCATTCTTAGATTATTAAATCTCAAAATTTCTTTAAAAAAATCTTTTATTATTTAATCTTTTATTATATTGTAACTTAAGGTAAATAAAATATTTTATCTTACTAGCAGGGAGTGAATCTTATTAGCTTTCCCAAATTTAAGAATAAAATTTTATAGGTAACTTTTACTTTTTATTATTATTTTTCCTTAATTTTAATGAGCTTGTGCTTCCTGATATCTTTGACAAACAAGTTAATTATTTTTATAGTTTTTTACACAGACTCCTCTAATATTTGTGGTCTAGTCAACATTTATGTCACAGTCTTTAAAAGTATTTGGAACTCTGCTTTGTACTTTTAAAACTATTTTATTTGAGTCTGTTCCTTGTAAAGCATCCACTATTATCAAGAGAAACTCTTAGTCAAAACTCTTAAACATGTTAAACTCTTAAACTCTTAGTCAAAACTCTTAAACTAGCAAAAGCCTAAAGAGAGAATTTTTTATGATCAAATTTGAAAAAATGAAGTCAGCCCCTGCATATATCCAAACAATACTGCACAGCCTAACTAACAACTTTAGATCTCAGCTTTTCACCAAGGCCAAAGATTTTAAGGAGCCAATAATAAGTTAGAAAAAGTAAAACAAGAAGAAATCCATCTTGGCTTCAAGTCCAAGAGTGCTTGACTAGTTTTTAATCCAACACACATTTAAACTCACTAATCACAAATTCTTTACCTTTTTTCTTAACTACTCCTTAATATCTCTACACGATGTGACCTCACTCTCAAACAAATCCGATGAGCTCAACTTTCTACTTGCATAGAAAGACTATCCTGATATACTTTGCTTGTATGGTTTAACTCAAGAAAAACTTTAACTACTTGAAATACATCTCTTTCTGAGAAGTAGTTGTTGCCTACACAAAGAAAACCATCTTCTAATTAAACAATGGTAAATCTCTCACTGTAGCTGGAGTAAGCATTAACAAAGACAACTGCGAATTTTCTATGACTAGAAAGTTAGCAACCATTTATTGATCTTTCAGATTTACTCTTAATCTTTTGTCTAACATTAACATGTTTGTGAAATTCTGTCTAGTAGTTTTTATTTTATAAATCAATCATGACATTTCATGTACAGTTATCACACCACATTTCATCTAATGTTGACATAACATCTCATGTTATTTCATGTACTGTTGATCTGTTTTTTACAGCCAATCAAAGGGTTGAAGTGGTTTAAAATTGTAAAAAAAATTTTATTTTATGCATTGATTTTTTTTTTAGTTTTTTCCACCAGTTGATCCACTGTGTATTCAAGGATCCACCTCAACATCCACTGTGTTTTAAAAGATCCACCTTATTATCCACTTACGAAAATTAATTTTTGTATAACTCATGCTTCCCGCAAATTATTTTACAAGGAAATGTCTGTAATGTTCAAAAAAAGTTTTTTTTTCTGTGAATTTCAGTGCTTTAAAATTTTTTTTCTCAGTAATTCATTAACTTTCTCAATAACAACATGATAATGGTTGCCTGAGTTTTATGTTTTAACTTTATGTAGCAGTTTTAGATTTTTTATTTTACATATAGTTTTATTCTTTGTTTAAAAAGAATGCATATAGTGTGTATATAAAATGTATATAAAGTATATAAAACAGAATATACATAGACATGTATGTATAGGGACATGTATGTAAAAGTTAATTTAAATCTAAAACATTTATATCAAATAGAAAAATATGCAACATACACATTAGTTTTATAATAAACAAATGTAGCAAAAAATATTTATTCTGGCAATTAAAAAAATAATCTAGCTACTTTTATTTTGGTCCTGGATTATAACCATGTGCATGTGGCATTTGCATCTACTTTGCAATTAAATTATCTTAGCTGATCGTCTAACATGATCATTACACTCTTAAAGCTCGTTTAATCTCTATTGATTGTTTATTTTCCATCAAGAGTTAAAAAATGTTTTGACATAGCGCAAGTTATTATATTATAATAACTTACACTATGCTAAAACATATGTTTTATTTATTACTACATAGAATATTTATTAAACATATTAAGCCATTGATGAGTTTTAGACAACTTATACATATTAATACTTAGATATTTGAGAAATGATTTAACTGTATAAAGTAAATTAAAAATTTTGGATATTTATGTTTTTGTTATTCTAATTTAAAAAAAAAAAAAAGAAAAAATTTTGTTTTCTTCTTGCTCTATTTAATGGAATAATAAATTTATGTTTTAGAAAGTACAAGTGTTGAAGATATTCTTAGTCGAGCTAAGCTTCTTCTTGATATTCTCACGGTGGCAACAGAGTTGCGAAAACTTAAGTGCTATGATATTAATAACTTGGAAGAAAAACCATTTAAAAAAAAGTGGGTATTTTAATTTAAATAATTTATTTAAGTAGTATTTAAATAGAACTAAATATTTTTTGTAAATAAAATAAATAGTGAATAAAGTCTTCATTTTTTTAGAAATGGAAAAATAGGCTTAGGTAATGGTCATAGAAAATCAAAAGAATATGAAGAATATGTTTTGCAAAAAAGGGAATTTCTAAAAGGCACTATGAAACTCTGTGAGAAAGGAGTTCAAAAGATTTTGTCCTACTCAAATAATTTTTTACATAAACGAATGAAAACAGACCCAGAGGTAATTCTTGTTACTATTCTAAATATTGGCTAAGCTTTTACTTTCCTTAATGGACAAAAATAAATGCATTTTTAAAAATAATTTGTAATTGAAATCATTTATGATTAAATAAAAAATATTGATATAGATGTAATACTTACAATCTATTTATTTTTTGCTTTATTACTTTTTATTTAGTTTTTAACTGTTTTTTTTGTAATATGAAATAGTATTTAATTACTTACTATTTACTTTTTGTTTTATTTTACAATGTTTGGTTTTTTATTTTCAAATATGTTATTTAATTTTCATTTTTAATAAAATGTGTTTTTAATATGCAATGTGATTATTGACTTTATTTAAATGTCTTTTAAAAAGAAAGGTATACGAATTGAGCGACAAAAAGGCAAGGCTGCAATGGGTACACTGAAACCAATATGTGATCTTCCTCTTGAATCTTGCTGTATTGATAATTGTGTTAGAGTAAGATTCTTATTTGTTACTTATAAAATGTTTTATGTTTATAATTTTACTATTTTAAAATTGGTTTTAATGCCAACCAGTGTTTGCAATACAAGCTTGTTGTTTTTCGCTTACCCTTTAAATATTCATTATTTTATTTGTGTTGAAAAAAAACCTCCAAACAATTTAAGACTTCAACTTTACTTTCAACTTTTAGATTTTTATTAGTTGGAACTTATTAAAATTTTAATTGAAATTTTTATTAGTTGGAACTTTTTAGTGTGAGTTGAATTATCAATTTTACACACTAATATTAGATAGCATTTGTTTTTTTGTGTTAAAAAGCACTTTTCTTAATAATTATAAAATGTACTTTATAAGCCGTCCTTACTTTTTAAAATACACAACTGGTAGGCTTGTAGTGTTGGTACCTTATAGGCTTGTAGTGTTGGTACCTTATTGTACTATAGCAATATAAGCAATTAATTTTCATTTAAGACTGCATTGAAGAAGAGTTTCATTTTAAAGAAAAAGATTTTTTTTGTATTGTTTTTTATTTATAGAAAATAAAGTCTAAAATACCTGGTAAAAAAAGAAAACAACTGCAAATACTGTTAATTTATAACATTAGTGTCTTTTTTTTAATTTATAGCATTTTTGTCTAGGATTATATTTACGTGTTTTACAGGGCCTCACACGTTACATTTTAATGTTTTAAAAATTCAAATTGTTTTTTGGTCTCTTTCAAATTTAAATTGATTATTAACAATTTTTTTGTAAATGTGTATATATATATATATATATATATATATATATATATATATATATATATATATATATATATATATATATATATATATATATGATTTTATTGTTTTAAATATATGAAGTAACTTAAAAACAAAATTTTTGTATAGCAAAGTTACAAATCTTAGAATGTGATTGTGATGGTTATAATAAATTATATAAATTAATATATAAATTATAATAAATTATAATAGTAATAAAAAAATTCTCTTCTTATAAAGAAGAGAATTAAAATAAATATTTTTTGAACAGGATACTAACAAAATATTTTATTATTTGTGTTGTGATTGCCCAAATGATTTTTAATTTTGTTGAGAAATGTGTCCTACATAATTGTAAAAACAATAAGTTTGATAAAAAAAGAAAATGTAGAAAGATTTTTAAATAAACTTTTTTTTTTATTTCAAATTTATAAGTATAAAAGATCATTTTTTCTGCAAGTGGAAAATGTTTAACTTTTCATCTAACATGAGCTTTTAGACAACTTAAAAATTTTTTTTCTTTAAATTCTTTAACTATTATAAACAAATCTAATTCTTATAAACAAATTTACAAACAAAAAAGTTTGGAAATATGATGGTGTTAGTTTGAACATTTACTTTCTATAACTTGTGATTCATATTTTTTAAAGAAGTAATATTAATTGTGAAATCAAAAATTTTTATATGTCATTATATAAATATATATATATATATATATATATATATATATATATATATATATATATATATATATATATATATATAATATATATATATATATATATATATATATATATATATATATATGTATATTATATGTCTTCATATAAGTAAATATATATATATATATATATATATATATATATATATATATATCTGATCAAAAAGTAAGGTGAATTTTTAATTTAAACTTCCCGCCTTATTCGAATCGTCCAATCTTTTTTTTTTTTAAGTTGGTAGGAATGTCATTAACATTTGCGCCAAATTATATGTCAAACTCATAATTATTTTTTTTTGTTTACGCTTGTTTCTGAAGTACCAAAAGTGCATTCGGCGATTTTCACGATGTCTAATTTTGTTGAGCAATTAAGTGCCATTAAATTTTGTTTGCGGAATGCAAAAAGCCTTCGGTGAAGAGACTATGTCTCAAAAAAATGTTTACAAGTGGTACAAAGACTTCAAAGAAGGCCGAACGTGTTGATGACTTGGAACGCTCCGGACGACCATCAACTTCGATTGATGATCGCCACATCAACAAAATCAAAGAATTGGTGCTTGCAAATCGTCGGTTAACCATTCGAGACCTTGTTGACATGGTTGGAATATCATTTGGGTCGGTGCAAGCAGTTTTGAAGGATCATTTGGGCCTCAGAAGACTCAAATCACGTTTGGTGCCGAAATTTCTCAATTTCTTTGAAAAAGAGCGTAGCGTTAAAGCGTGTGAAGCAATGCTTTCTGACTATCAAGACGTCTTCAAACAAATTATTACTGGCAATGAGACTTGGGTCTACTCATACGACCCTGAAACAACCGACCAATCGAGTGAATACCGTGAAAAAGGCGAGCCGAGACCGAAGCAACCACGTCAAAGTCGCTCAAAAATCAAGGTCATGTTGACTGTTTTCTTTGATTATTGTGGTGTCGTGCACTACAAATTCCTTCCAACTGGCCAAACTGTCAACAAGGAATATTATTTAAGCGTTATGCGACGTTTGCGTGAAGCTATTCGGAAAAAGAGACCAGAATTATGGGCCAATAACTCTTGGATTTTGCACCACAATAATGCGCCTTCGCACACAGCACTGGTTCTTCGTGAGTTTTTCGCCAAAAACTCTACCCATGTTGCTCCACAACCACCGTATTCGCCCGACTTGGCACCGTGTGACTTCTGGCTGTTTCCAAAGCTCAAGAGACCACTCCGGGGAAATCGTTTTGAGTCCATTGAAGAGATCCAACGTGAATCGGCGCGCGCATTGAAGGCTATCTCTACCGAGGACTTTTCGGTATGCTTCGAAGACTGGAAAAAACGTTGGCAAAAGTGCATTGGGGCCGGGGGGGATTATTTTGAGGGGGACGATACAGATTTGGAAGAATAAATAAAGATTTTTCATTTTATAAAAAAATTCACCTTACTTTTTGATCACAGTAGTATATATATATTATATGTCTTCATATAAGTAAATATATATATATATATATATATATATATATATATATATATATATATATATATATATATATATATATATATATATATATATATATATATATATATATTTACTTATATGAAGACATATAATATATATATGTTTATAACATGATTTTTCAAAATTGCTGGTAGTCAGGGTTCCTGTTTAATTAATTGGCTACCAGCCGTTTTGACAAAAAAAATTTCGTAACAAACTAGATATTAATAGTAAGGTAACAAATAAACTTTTTAATACATAATTTTTGTAAAGCTTATTCAAAAGACGCTACCAACAGCTTGCTAATGCTTGGTAATGAAAGAGTAAATACAATATTTTTTTACGAGATTTGAAAAATATATATAATTGCTTTCTATACTTTACAAAATATTACATGAAAACTGAGAACTATGAAACTATGAAAATAGAGCTGCAGGTTGAAAATTACACTTGTTAGAAGCAAAAAAAGGTAGAAAAAACAAGCAAACTTTATTGAATGTTTTTTCAAAAATCAAGAGCAAACTTCTTTAGAAATTCTTTAAAATTCTGCAATTTCTAAAGAATTAGAAGATGCAAGAATAAGTTTATCCAGGAAAGAATTTGAAACAACATAATGATGTAGAAAAGATATCTGAAAATATGTTGACAAAGTCTTCAGATAATTTAAGTTATAGAATATCTGTTACTTCTGAAGAGTCAGAAAATGGGATTGAAAAAGAAATAGATATTGATGATGTTGACGTAAATAAAAACTTAATGTTTATATTTACATCAAAACAAAACTTGGTTAAAAAAAATTTGAGAATGGTCTTGGTGAGCAATTGATGTGTTCATGGTTAGTTTATTCACCTTCCAAAAAATGCCAAAAATCATTGACATTGCTTTAATCATTGATAAGAAATAGAAAGAAATTTGCTTAACAGCAGAGGGATAATTGATACACAACCTCAAATACAAATTCAAAGTGAAATTCAGAAATCAAGGGTTGAATTAAATGATCGTGAAATAAAAAATTTGGAAAAATATCTGGTCTTCAAATTAAATAAAAAATTTTTATTGTATCTGAAGCATTAATTTTTAAAAACCAAGCAATAAAAATTTTTTTATTGGTTGGTTTTTAAAATTAACCTGTGTTTTTACAGACTATTAGTAATCTAGCATTTTGAATGGGTGATGCAAAATTTTTTCATAGCCCTCCCCCCCCCCTCCTCCAACCTTAGTATACAACTTAAGTATAGTCAATTTAAAAAATGGAGGGATAGAAAATGCTTAGAAAGGGTGGGGCGGACATACCCTGGGCAGCTTTTTTTAGAAGTGACACTGCTGTTTATGTCATTAAATAATAACTAGGTCTGTTTTGTATTGCTTTTGTGGTATCTATTTTTAATAGAAATTTTCACAAATGTTGCCTTGGTAACCCTCCATTTTTGGATTCTTTTCTTTTCTGGATAGGATTTTTTTTAATTAAATTTTGTTATATTTTATATTGAAGCTCAATTAATATAAAATAAATATAGGCTAATAGTCTCTCTCTCTCTCTCTCTCTCTCTCTCTCTCTCTCTCTCTCTCTCTCTCTCTCTTTTGACTGGTTTTTCAAAAATAATTCCCATAAATCTAACCCAACATGTTTTAAAGTAAAATGAGGCATATCAGATGAATAAAAATTTAAAAATTCATAAAAATCAGACTTCCATGGTTTCTTCAGGAACTGCTGCTAGACCTTTATAAACAAACATACCATTTTCTGGAAACCTATTATCTAGCTTAATAATAAAATTTTCAATTAATGGAGAAGTAAAGTTGTGTTTAAAATAGTCACAAACTGTATTTGTTGGATAATTATCCCGATAAACCTGGAAATTACACAATCTAGGTCTTTCTTCTTGGATATCAAGACTAAAACCAAAAAAGCAATTTCAGTGTGATGTAAATCAATTTTTTTTAATTTCTAATAACAGATTTTTTAGATTAGTTATTTCAAAACATTGCCAAACTAAAACAATGTCTAAAGATTTAGTTTGAAGTGTTACAGTAATTGCATAAAAAA